GAGATTGTATCACAAATTTTTAAAATTTGACATTTAAAACTTAATTTGAATTAATTAATTCTTTTGAAACCTTTTTATCATTCTCCCAATCAAACCCACTTACAAGTTACAAGGAAGTTTACATATTACTAAACTACAAGATCATTGGCTCTACCATTTCAACACATGTAAGTTACCTTTGATTATTTTAAATATAGACTAAGAAAATTTATCAAGGTTAGTCAAGTTGTTAAGCTTTTCAAATATTAGCCAAACTTTTTAAAATCAGCCTCATTAAATTTGGTTTCTCTTTATTAATTAAATTTATCTCAAGTATTCTTCATTCTACCAACATAATTATTGGTTCATATTTAATACCCAATCATATTTTGTACATGGTTGTCTCTAAACACTTGTGAACAGTCAAATGTGTAACAAGTTTTATATGAAAGGAGGGATGAATATCCTTTCTCGTATTGCAGCTGTTTTAATCAACATAGCCTTTTAATCTCTTAATGCTAAAGTTTTTTAAAGGGAAAATGATAATAAATCTTCTCGAATATATAAATAATAATCTGATCTTTTGAAGTGCCATAATTTAACTAAAATCTCTAAAAATTTTTATGTTAATAAATTTTTAAGTGAAAAGAAATCCTCAGGGATTTTTGTGTCAATAAATTTTTAAGTAAAAAAATTATTTTACCCTTATTGAAAATAAGAAGCCTCAATCACAAGCTTTGTTTAAGAAATAATAACTTTTATTATTTAAATTGTAAGAGTTGAACAAAAAATCACAACTTATCAAATGTAATTTTTATTATTAAAAAACAAGTTATCAAAATAAAAAACCTCAATAACAATTTTTATTTAAAGAATAATAACTTTTATTCAAAGAATCGCAAGAATTAAATAAGAAATCATAATTTATCAATAAGGGTAAAATAATATTTTCAATTTAAAATTTATTGACACAGAAGTCTCTAGAAATTTTTGTGAAATTTCAACATTTTAAAAAATTAAAATGTCATTTATATAATTCGAGAGAATTTTATTATTTTTTTTCTTTTTCAAAACGTAAATAAAATACTTTTATTATTCACAAAATCAATCGGCCATTAAAAAGATTTAAAAGAAAAAAAGAAGATCCCAATGCCCCTAAAACGATCAACTACGGTCAACAAATCCGACAGAAACTAATGAAATATATGAGCATGTTTTATTTACATTCCTATTTTTTATTTTTAAAAAATATTTTATGATATAGTTTTTAGAATTATTTTTCAAAATAAATTAAAAAACAAAAATATATTTGGTCATGTTAATTTACAAATAGTTTTAAAATTTTAAAATAGGCTGATAATAATGACTGTAAGCAATTAATGATGGCTTATGATAAAAATTATTCAAGCTAACTATATTTTCCAATATCAAATATAGCGTATTTTGAAAACAAGAAAAATAAAATAAAAACAAGTTTAAGATATTTCTATTTTTTATCTTTAAAAATAAAAAAGAATTGTTTTAAAAATAATTAAACCTAAAACACTTATCTAAATGAGTTTTTAATTTTTTTTATTTTTAAAAATAGAAAATAATTTTTCAAAATAGAAACCAGATAACACTTTAAGTGTTTTGATAAGTTCAAATTTAATTAAAAGTGTGTCATATAGGAAACTCATCCCTCTCGTGCTATCCTTGTAGGCCTTGACTTGAGATTCATTTTCGACGCTCATCATGGTGATGAGATCTATACCATTTATATTAAAATTTGGATGGTTTAAATTTAAAGTTTTATTTTTATTTTTATTTATTAAAATAAAAATTTATAAAAAAAGTAATAAGTCTTTTTATCATCAATTTGGTTTAGATTTAATTTGAAGGGTTTAATTTAATACTAAATTTTTATAATTTTTAGGGTGAATGACAAGTAAGGGCCTCATAAGTATATTAATATATCAAATTAGGATTTTTGAATATTGACATTTTCAAATTTTAATACTCCTTCTCTCATATTTTACTACTAAAAATCTTAATTTGACATTAACGTTCTTACAAGGTTCTTATTTATCATTCTCCCTAATTTTTATATATTGACTATCAAAATATACTCTACGTTTAAAATTTCTAACTTATAATTTTTTATTAAAAATATTTTTTTAAAAATGTGCCAGTTTTATATATTTTAATTTTTAATATTTTATTTATCAAAATAAAAATTATAAAAAATGTTTAATATTAAATATGGATTGCACAAATTACAACTGGATAATTCATATATAAAAATTATAAAAATTTTAATATTAAATTATACTTCTCAAATTAAATCTAGACCATGTTGATGGTAAAAATATTTATTAATTTTTAATAATTTTTTATTTTAATAAAAAAATAAAAATAAAAATAATATTTTAAATTTGGATCATTTTGATTAAAATTTAAATAGTTCATACCTCATTACCATGATAAGCACCCAAAGTGGACCATGTTTCCCTCTTCCTCTGAATTTGATGTTATTAATATTATTTTTTTAACCTGATATTAATTTGTCATTAAAAACGCACAACCATCCTGCCACATTATATTTTTACTGCGCTCCTGTTGCATTCTGTGGTCTTCATATTTGATGTACAAAACTCGCGTGTCAGTTTTGAACTTTGCTCGAACCATTTTTTTTTTTGGGGAAAAAGACACGTTTCGATTTTTAGATCTCTTTCTCAAGCAGATTTCACTTACGTGGTGGGTTAAGCAGAAAATTTGTCAACAAATTCCAAAAGGTGCACTCTGAATGATGCATTTGCCTACTAATTCAAAAGCGTATCTTGTTGCTCCCGCTCGCTACTGATGATGGTTCCTTCTACCTTCCAAACACCCTTCCTCCCTAATGTTTCCACAAACAACAGTCAACATGATCAGCCTGGCATCAATCGCGTTGAGAATCAATTATCAATTAATATATATATATATATATATATATATATAAACTAATTAAAGAAAGGATCATCGTATGCCTTTATCTCCAACCTAGTTAATCCTTTTTTCTAATTATTTTCTTTTGGGTAATTAGATCTTAAATGTTCATGCTTTAATGGAGATTGCTGATGAGTGCGTGCGTGCAAGTGAATAACATGTACTCGTACGGATCGACGATCCCATTCTTCTCCCACATGAACACTTACTGTAGATCTTGCAAATTGCGACTATTGATCGATTTGTCATCGTTAATATGTCTGTCTCGCCTTGCCTGGGTTTATTTTCAGTCCAAAAATCATAGGCCGAACCACACATTCCAGATTATGAAAACATTGTCTAGTGATTTGTAATAATTAACATGCCATGAAAGAATCGCGGTTGATAATTAAGATTACACAATCTCAAAAAGATTTCTCTCAAGATATGTTTAGCCTGATCAAGGGAAAAATCTAGTCTGAGAACATAAAAACGCTGGGTGTCCTATCCTTATCTTTGGATATTTAATCAAACCTCAGGAACCTCGCTACCATGCCAAGTATAACTCATTTATCGCGGACGATTACCAAAACCTTCGCTGTAAAGTTGACAAAACACGCCAGCATACTCCCTTAAACGCGTGAAAATTGCCCCTAACCCAATTAGAAACGGTCATTTCCTTCTCAAACAATGGAAAAAAAAAGAGCAAAAGATTGTGTTTTTGGCTACCCCCACCTATCCTCCTGCATGTGTGCTGGCGATATTTCCCAAAGTTAATTGCAACACCAACACGGGATCCGAACAAAACCTTAAAATCAGAAAAATTCAAATTACAAATATGAAAGTGGGGAAATGAAAAGTGAGTTAGTAGTGATCACAAGCATCCAACAGTAACAATCAACAAGAAGTATATAATATTGATGATGAATATATCAATCTTTGATTTCATTTCATCCATCAACTTGGATAAGAAATTTTGAATTTAGTGATCAAGCGCTTCTAATGCCTGATGGATTGATAATGATAGTTTTCGGCAATTATGAGAGTAAAACACCAAGATTTTGCATGGGAAGGAGGGTCCATGGCAATTGAATAACGCGGTTTTGGAACGGAGTACGTACAGAGAGGCAACAGCTGTGATGACATCTGCAAATGCCCTTCACTGTTCGGTTTATTTGTTGACTCTGTTCTTATTTGTTTATTTTTTATTTATTTCACGCTTCACTTTTTTGTGCGCAACAGCTTTTACTTAACCTGAGTATCCAGGAAGCTGCCTCCCTTATTTATTTTTTCATGCTCCGAAGTCCTAAGTACGTTTCTTTCTCCCCAGCTTCCATCATCATTTGGATTAATCAATCATATGGGTCTCCTTCCGTGAATAGTAAAAAGAAAATCTATAAAATCAAATCCTGTCGTTGTCCTCGCCGAGTTACAAATTTACCCTTGCACTTTTCGGTTTTCACTTCAACCTTGAGGAGAGAGATTGGGTCTCAACTGGGGAACAAATCAGACGGCGCCATATTCATAATGTACTTCAATAGTTCAATGTATGCCTCGTCACTGGTTCGCAGAATTCGAGTCTTCTTGTTTAGTTAAGGTGGTGTGGCCACATATTTAATTCTTAGTTGTCCTTGCCCCGTTGCTCGTAACTCGTACCAGTATTCCCATATCATAAAGTCATGGGTGCATTTACTTCTCTCACCGGCATGCTTGAATGTGTGTGTATATATATATATATATATGTCAACATTTTTCTCGCATTCATGCAATTGACTAAATCAAAAACTCTTACAGTAGGAAACCTAATGTACTTTCAATTGACCTACAGGTTAATTTGATTCTGTTTTTGGTGCAATAACATCAGGAACAGTGAGAATGCAATATGAAGGAAGCTTCGGCAAGAGAGGACAGAGATGTCATTTTACGAACCTCATTGAATATTAAAATTAATAACCAGAACCCATCTGGCAGTGATGTCAAATCTTGAATAAGGGCGAGCTCAGGGATTAATTATTAATAAGCTATCTTCGAAGGCAAGCCTCCAGGCTCCATCTATAAATATGGGACCTTTTCATCCTCGCCTTCAGCTGCGATCTGATACGTTGGGAAGGGCAAAAACATTAGAGGAAGAGAGAGCCAAGAGAGACTCGTTGCAGTTTGCATACACTCTCGTCAAAATCACTGATTTTGAACTAGATGGTGAAGAGAGAACACAAGATCCAGGAGAGGGCATCGAAGGGGAAAGTATGCGTACCAGATGGGAAGAAGAAGTACAAGGGAGTGAGAATGAGGAGCTGGGGATCGTGGGTATCAGAGATTAGGGCACCTAACCAGAAAACAAGAATATGGCTGGGCTCTTACTCAACTCCTGAGGCAGCAGCCAGAGCCTATGACGCTGCACTTTTGTGCCTGAAAGGCTCCTCTGCAAATCTCAATTTCCCTTCTTCTTCTTCGCCCTTCAATATCCCTCAAGATACTCTTCTGTCCCCTAAATCAATCCAAAGAGTAGCTGCAGCAGCTGCTAATAGTTCCGTTGATAATGTCACCACCCTGCCTCCTCCTCCTCCTGCTTCAGCCTCTTCCTCATCAGTATCATCTTCATCAATGGTTTCCTCTCCCTCTAATCTAGTTGATGATGACGCTTCATTAATCTCATCCTTTAAGTCCTTCTCTAGGTATGATCACCCGAATGAACCAGTGCCTGCGACGGAACCTTGGTACGGCCTTGAAGGGCTGCAATCCCCTAAATATGTTGATCAAATGCTGAGTAGTGCTTCTTTTGATTTTTATTCACACCAGCTGCTCGATGATTTCTACGAAGAAATCGACATCAATTTGTGGAGCTTCTGCTGAGAGATTTTCAAGCCAACCCAAATTCCTTCCCAAGTTCTTATTACTGACTGTGACTAAATTTATGTCATATAAATGTTAAAGAAACTCATGTAGAGATAAGACAGAATTTGAACTCTAATGTGAATTTCTGCACACTTCAAATCGTGTATCATTATTGCTGCTTCCTCTATTATATCAATGTGAGAAATGATTTTCAGGGGAGAAAACAAAAACAAGTTAATGCCCATCAATGTCCCGGTGTTTAAGTTTTCAAGCCAACCCAAATTCCTTCCCAAGTTCTTATTACTGACTGTGACTAAATTTATGTCACATAAATGTTAAAGAATCTCATGTAGAGATAACACAGAATTTGAACTCTGATGTGAATTTCTGCACACTTCAAATCGTGTATCATTATTGCTTCTTCCTCCATTTTATCGACGTAAGAAATGATTTTCAGGGGAGAAAACAAAAACAAGTTAATGCACATCAATGTTCCGGTGTTTAAGATAATCTTATGAATATTGTTCAATTCTATATCACTATAGAAGTGGAAGCAATGTTAGGGTCCTGTGAGAATGGTGGGAAAGCTCCTTAGTTGCACGACGAGATGCCAGAGAACCGTTGTCTACTACCGCGTGCCAAAAGAGCTGCTGTTGATCTCAGATACAGTGATCAGAGGGAACCGTTGTACAATGTGGAAACTTGAAATTATTGGAAAGCGTGTCTTTTGTATAGCATTGTCTACTCTCCCAGAAGAACGTGGGTTTGTGTCTCGTTGTTTGGTATTGCCTTTCTATGTGCTTTACTTGTCTAATTAGAAAATTAAAACTGGGTATAAACCCTGCTTAGTTGCTTGGTTTCCGATTATTCTTTCTTTTTTCATTTTAAAAAAACACAGAATAGAACCGGATGGGTCAATCAATATTTCTCGCTTGGGGAACTAATGTATTAATTAGAGATAGAAGAGATGTCTTTGTTGTTCGATGAAGCAGCGGATGCAGTGGTCAACATTTTCTGAGGTATGACTTGCTTGCATCGCAAGTCTTTCTTTTGTGTTTCATGCCGAGATTGTGGTGTTGAGAGTATAATATGCAAGATCGTGTTCTTTACAAAAATAAGAAGGGCAGACAAACTTTGACGCTTTGAGGCCAACTTTTGAACCCGATCATGTGTCCGAAGCAGATGGTTTTCTATAGTACACATGAACTGTCCCTATGTGAACTTGGGAAGGGCATGGGGTCCCATTCTCCCTTGTTCTTTTTACACTGCATCTGGTCTTAAAAGACAAAACAAGTTGGATTCCTTCCACCAGCTAAATGCCCTGTGACAATGAAAATTTTCAGAAGATAGAAAACTTTTGCTTTTGATTTCTATAAGTTGCTCGCTGATATGGGGTAACAAGGGCATAGGTGTTCCTTATCTTCCTACTGCAACAACGAACTTCTTCTCTTTCCCTTTCTGCACATGAAAATGCAATGCAACAAAATGACAATATCACAACAGTGGTGCAATTTCAGACACAGCATGTGATTCCAAAACCTCAGTCAATCAGAGATTAGAGTAGATCTGTTTGATGGTTGATGTTTTTGTTTAATCTGAATGCAATTGTCCCCAACAATATAAGATCAACACCTCTTTGGCATTATGCTAATTGTTTATTAAACAGTAATACGATCCTACGCCGATACAAGCTTGGAGATACTTCCCGTATAGAACTAAGCAATAATGGTCTTTTTTTTTTAATCTATGACGCGCTTTCCAGGAAATGGTGTTTAGGATGCTGATCATTAAGCCTATCACCACATAAAGAAAGCATGGATTAGAGCAAAGAGAATTATATTCTTTATGAGATTTCACGTGGGTTCACCGATTTCTCACATGACAATAGAGGGAAAGAATATAATGTGCCCACAAAAAGGAAAGACTGTGGTAGCAAGGGTTGAGTCCGGAGATCCAACATACAGCTTGAGTTAACTGACGCAAGCTTGGCGTTATATTAAAACATCAATTTGTGAAGGGGTTAGTGATCAATATGAAGAGCTAGATTTCAATATGTCATATTAGATTCTGTCAATATTAAAAATACTGCGTGCTCTTTCTCATTCTAGATGTGCCTCTAAGGTTTGGTACGGCGCCATTTGTAGAGGCCAACCCATCGCATGATTGCATACATAAAGGAACGATTTTAACTTTTAAGGGCGAAAGTTATAACATTAAATTGGCACCAAGAATGAGGCCCACTGTACAATGTCGCACCTATTCTCACGTACCCAAGCCCACAACATGGAAAAATGTCAGGATTCTGAAAAACAGCACACTCACACAGTTTTAGGCGCCTTGCATGCCATCAAAATTTAAAAAGATAAAACCAAGTGGATGAGATATAAATGATATTAGTTTGGGCCCCTTAAAAAATTATTTTAAGATTTGATTGTTAGAGGTATATGTAAAAAAATATTATGTAAAAGATAACAACTCTTTAAATAGTATTCAGATTTTTTAAAAGATTAATTTCATAGCTGTTGACTATGACAATACCTTGGGCAACAAAAAAAAAATTAAAAGGATAAAGATACAAACTTGGCCTTTAATTATTTTTTTAGGAACACTGAATTGTTTATATTATAAAGCGGTGTGAAATAAAATTTTAACTTTAAAAAATGAAACATTTAGTGACCTCCAATAATTTTATTTAAATGATGTTAACTTTTTATGTGGGGATTGCAATTTTTTGATTAAAATGACACATGACACTTCACCGTAGCAAATAAAAGTACAAATCTAGACATGAACTATTTTTTAAGAAATACTTGGCAGCTTTTACTATAAAACATGGATTATCCAATACTTTTCTATTAATTGTAACCAAACATCATTTATTTTTAAATTATGAGATTTATAATGCGTCAATTTCTTTAATTTTTTTGAATATGTTTTCAGTCTCAACTTGAGAAAAAGATATTTAAAGAGTTTTTACTTAAAAATATTTGCAAGAATGACGCTAATGAAGTAGAAGAAGGTTAAAAAGATAAAGTTTTGTTAAAATAATTGCAGCAATTAAAGCAAAGTAGCAGTTTAAACTATAATGCTACTATACATGGGAGAAACTTGATTTAAGCTTAATTTAAAATAAAGCAATTGAATTAAGCTTCTCCCGTGCTTAGTAACATCATAACTCAAATTGCTACTTTACTTGAATTATCATGAAAATTTAAATGAAGGCTTGTTTTCTTCCTTTTCTTCTTCTACTTCATTGACATCATTTTCGTAAATGTTTTCAGATAAAAGCTTTTTAATTTTTTTTTTCTTAAGTTGAGATTGAGAATCAATGTAAGAAGATTGGAGAGATTGACACGTTGTAAATTTTATAAGTTTGAAAATAAATGACATTTGGTCAAAACTGATGAGAAAGTGTTGGATGATATGTTTTTTATAGTAAAGGCTATTCGGTATTCCTTAAAAAATAGTTCATGGTCAGATTTACATATTTATTTATTGAGGTAGAGTGTTACATGAAATTTTAGTCAAAAACTTATGGGCCCCACACAAGAAGTTAACCTTCCTTAAATAAAAATTAACGGAGGTCACTGGATGCTCCATTTTTTAAAAATAAAAATTTATTTTACAACACTTTATAATATAAGCTATTCAGTACATTTGAAAAAATAATTGAAAGCCAAATTTACATTTTTACTCAAATTTAAAACCACAAGCATAGCCCCATAAGTGTAGGTGTACAATATTCAAACTTATCAGCAAATAAATCGATAGTTTAGTCTTTTACAATGTAGTAAATTAAAATTTAAATTTTTGTTAAGAGAAACACTTATATTTAGCATTTGATCATTCTCAAATATGATTGTTTTGATAAGAGAATATCTATAAAAAAATTTAAAAAAAACTCAGCAAAAACATAAAGCAGTTGTCTCGATCAGTTCTCACCATATTCTTTCTTCAATTATGAATAATTTAACATCAGCATCTATGCAGATCATACAATTTGTTCTTTTTTTAAAAAAAAAATCGATGCCAACCAATACCATCTGGAAACTGTAAACCAAACACTGTACTATTTGTTTATCCAGCTTTGCATAATCGATGATGTGAAAAGATTCCTAAAATTTCGTATAACCAAAATACAATTTTTTTTTTTTTATCAATTCAGTTTTTTATTGAATGTCGTTTGACTAATATAATTTTTTTCTTCATGATAGCTTATGGTATCATAGCCCACAAATGTAAGGCCAAACTAATCTGGATCAAGACTGGGTCAGCCCATTAATGGGAAAAGCCTCTACCACACCCCTCTAGAAAATTTACCACACTAGCTGCATTTTTAAAGTTCGAACTTAAAATCTCTGATTAAATTAAGACAACTTCATACCAGTTTATCTAAATATTTGGTAATTTTGACCAATACATATTGATATATTAATAGTAACACTTAGGTATTGACATATTGATGATACTTTTTTTATTGAAAGATAGATACATACATACATATATAGAGAGAGATAACAAATTGACCACCAGTGGAGGTGGAATAATTCAATAAAGGGGACATCTAGAATGCCCGCGTTGCCTCAACTATGCTGGGCCTAGTCCAACGAAAGTCAGTGGGGCTAATCTTCACCTGCAACGAAAGTCGGCACCCACAAGGATCTTTTTGGAGCTCCGATTCCTGTCAAGCTCTGAGGCTCGGGAGGCGGCACTCCGCTGTTCTGCTACTCAAGGCCAGTCACCACTCGTCTCCTATCAATCGACCTGCAGTTCTTCCCCTGGCCTGGAAACGCCTTACCTTTCGGCGGTCATGGGTTATTCAAAGGAACAGCTGCTTGCTCTCTTAAAGGTTTTCCTTTGTCATCTTAGTCTGCAACGCCTCCATTTCCTATTTTAGTCTCCTTTTGAATTGCCTTACTTCGTTTTGATCTGGCTATACCTTATCTTTCATAGGCCATGTGTATTCGGTAAACTTTAAATCAATTTGCTCAATTCAGCACTAAGAGCACCAGTCCGTGGTCATATTGTTTTTTCCTGCTCCATCCTCCTGATAATTCAAATTCAAATTTCTATATAATGTTACAATGTTTTGATGTTTAAGTATAAGTGAACTGTATATTCAGTTTGAATCGTGAAAATCTACACATCGCGGATAGAATTAAACTTATTAAAATATAACAAAGTGAAAGGAACCATGCCGGATTTGAGTTAAAGTGAGGCCTATTTCCTGCTGCTCTTGTACATTGTGCTCTCTTCCTCGTTTTCGCTCTTATTGCTACTACTTCTTAAGAAGTGTTATAACAGAGTTGTCATAGTTTGAAATTAGTTGAACTGTGTCCTACTTGATGTACAGCGTTGAGATATATAATGGAAGACTCCCTATATACAATTATTCGGTCGCACCTAGGCATAAATATTTGTTATGCCTTTTTCTTCCCTGCTTGCAAGGAACTGTTGTGATTTTTATTTTCTTGTTTTCAGGATCTTCAGATTGAATTTTCCAAGTATGAACATCCAGCTGTTTTGACAGTTGAGGCTCAGGTAAAATCCCTTAGATATTATGTTCTGTTCCTGTATATGGTGTATATATGTTACTGATCTCTTTTTAGCACTCTGCATCTGCTTTATGCCAGGCAAAATATGTTGGAAACAAGGGGGGAGGACTAAGTAAAAATTTATTCTTGAAGGTATGTTGTGTTTAAAGACCGACAAAGGATTCCCTTGTATTAATGTGGTAAATGGTAAATTTTTGGCTGTTCTATGAGTTATGCATTGCCTCATAACTACAATTACCAAAACAGGACAAGAAACAAAGGTTTTATATGGTCTCTGCTCTAGCAGATACCAAAGTGGATTTGAAAGGTATGTATTCTTTTGTGAACCTGGTTATCTTGTGAGTAGGCTGGTAGAGGAATTTGTTGACTTGCTTGTTTATTGTATTTAATGGCTTTTAACAAGAGTTATTTGTGGCTTCGAAGCTGAGCAGTGTTATCTCAGCGGCTCGGTTTGGGGAAAGGAGGTCTGAGAATGGCGCCCGAAGAGGCTTTAGGAGAAATACTTAAGGTTTATTTGTGGCTGATTTACTATTTAGCCTTTTGTTCCTCCACGCCTCCATCCGACATTTCCCTCCTCTCTTTATTTTATCTTGTTTAACCACTGAATTAGCCAAAAAATCATACAAGTACACTGTCTGATTTGTTAACATGTTCCTCTCTCCTCCATTTTTACTGAATTTAATACCCTGTAAAAATGACATGGTTGAACTTATCATTGACTTGGTCAATTATTAACTATTTGATGTGTTTTTCTCTTTTCCCTTTAAGGTGCCCTTGGGTTGCGTCACTCCATTTGCATTAGTGAATCAATCAGCACGGTATGCATGTATTGAGATTGTTTCACTACTTGTGAGATATCAAATGTACCCTACAAAATTTTCTTGGTTATCATTGCTATCAATCATCAGTAAATTACAATAAGCTGCACTAGAGATATTTATTAATTCACATTGATCAAGTTTTTTTTTTTTTTTTTATGTTGTAAGTTGCAAAATAAGGAATTTGAAGTAACACATGCAAAAAAAAAAAATTAGAGTCTCTTGCATTTTTATTTTAAATTCTTGTCAAGAATTTAATTTCGACTATTTTTTTATACGAAACTTCTTTTGAATAAAAATAAAATTAGAATGAACAGGGTTTTTTGGAGGGATTGTCTTTAGCATAGTGAGGGTTTTAGAAGAGAGGAGGTTGAAATTGATGCTCGCTTGGGCAAAGATCCTCTGGAAGAATGTCACTCTCTTAATTTGTCAAAGACAACACTGCATTTGATGTTGGAGCTCCTTAACAAGGTCTGGATGGTGGAGTTTGTCCTAGTTGACAGATTTGCTAATAAAGTAGTTGATCATTTGGCTAATATGGGTGTTAAGTTAATTCTTGTATCTGAAAGGAAGCCCCATCTGATGTAGTGGGTTTAGTGATGAATGATCTTTTGGAGCTTGATACCACTTGATGTAATTAGGAAATTGCCCCTCCCTTATCAACCTAAAAAAAAAGAAATTGCCCTCTTGATGTCATAATGGTCCTAGGCAGAGTTGGTATCTTAGTATCCAAACTTGGACCTGGATTCGTAAAAGATTGGTAAGAATCTTCTAGAGCCAAACAGGTTTATTCTACAAGAACTCATACGATATGGGTATGTTGCTTATCTTTATTGACACCCACTTGAATGATGAACAAGAGTGTTCTCTAATATTGATTGTGTTAAAATCTTTGTTAAATTTAATTTAATAATTCTTTGCCATGTTAAAGAATCATTTTATTGGGTTGTGTTCATGTTTACTAGGCTATTTAAAAACATCCTCATCCATTTAGCTAATATTTGTCAAAAGAACTATGTGGAATTGAGAAGAAAATATTTCTCATTGATGCTGAATATTGGAATACAACTAGGTATTTATACACTAGGGTGGAGAAATAATAATAATAATTACTAATAATAAATAATAACTACTAATAAATACTAATAAAGCCTAGGAATGTTTACAGCAGTAACAATATCTTTACTAGAAATGTCTAATATTTTCACACTCTTTCTCAAGTTAGATCATAGATGCTAATGATGTTCAACTTACTTATGCAATTCTCAAATACAGGTCCGAGTAATCCTTTAGTCAAAACATCAGCAGCCTATAACTTTGTAGGCAAATATGTCAAACATAAAATTCCTCCTATTTTTTTTTTTTTTTGATGAAGTATTGGTATATCCCAACACGTTTAGACCTATCATGTTATACTAGATTTGAGGTCATGTTTATGGTAGCCTTATTATCACAGTAGAGTTTTAATGGTGAGCTTGTTCCAACTTGTATTTCATTCAAGACTCATTTTAGCCACAACTCCTTTGCTATTCCTTGAGCCAAAGCTCTTAATTTAGATTTAGCATTGCTTCTTAAAACAACTCTTTGCTTCTAACTTCTCTATGTAACTAAATTTCCCCAAATAAATGAACAGTAGCTAGAGGTTGATCTTTGATCTTTACAGGTTTCACCCTAACTTGCATCAATGTAAACTTCGATGGATCTTTGCTCATGTTTTCTAAAGAACAAGCCTCTACCAGAGTACCTTTCAAGCATCTCAAAATCCTGTAGACTGCTTTCATATGACTCTTCATATGACAACACATATATTGACTAGTTACACTAATAGCGAATGCTATATCTAACCTTGTATAAGAGAGATGTATTAGCTTTCTAACGAGCTTCTAATCTCTCTCCTTCTCAGCTGCTCTTCTTCACCTTCCTTAGGCTTCTTCTTTGGTTTCTTGATCTCAACAAGGGTTTCAACGAGTTCGTAGCCCAACATACTTGCCTCCTTTAAGAGATCAAGTATATATATATATATATATATATTTGAGAAACACAGATTTCTTTTCTTGACCTCACAACTTCCATCCCAAGAAAGCATTTTAGCTTCCTGAGATCCTTGAATTCAAATTCCTTGTCAAGGGCAGCCTTCACTCTCTCTGTCTCCTCAAGATGATCTCCGGTGAGTATTATGTCATCAATATAGACAATAAGGATACAATTCTTGCTTTCCTCAACTTTAACAAACATTGTATGATCTGACAAGGCTTGCTTGTCACCTTCAAACTTTAAGACTCTTGAGAACCTATGAAACCAAGCCCTTGGTAGACTTTTTCAATTTACAGACTATATTTTCTTTCGCTGCCTTTTTCAAACTTGGCAGTAGAGTCATTTAGACTTCTTTCTTCAACTCCATTTAGAAATGCATTTTTGATATCTAGTTGATGAAGAGGCCACTCAAGATTAGTTGATACAAACAATAAGACTTTGATCATGTTTCAATTTTGCCATCGAAGCAAATGTTTCATCATAGTCCAAATCATATATTTGGATAAACTACCTTGCAACCAAGCGTGCTTTCGATTTATCAAGGGCTCCATTGGTCTTATATTTTGGGGTAAACACCCACTTACAACTCATTGTTTTCTTTCCTTTGGATGGTTGAACAAGTTCCCATGTCCCATTCTTTTTGAGGGCCCTCATTTCTTCCATGATAGTACTCCACCGTTCGAGAGTGCTTAAGGCTTCTTGTATAGTCTTAAATACTTTCACCTTGTCAAGATTAGTAACAAAAGCTTGATATTGAGGAGAAAGTACATTGTATGAGACAAACCTTTCTATTGGATGGAAAGTACATGAATGAGATTGCTTCATCAAAGCAATAGGAAGATCAAGATCAATAGATTCACTTACTTGCTCTATACCATCTAGCTTTCGATTTATCAGGAGCTACCTCTAGTGCTGACTCTCTTGGTGCTTAAAGTACAAGTAACTTACTATCTTTCGATTTCTTTTTTCAAATGTAAACTAACAGTTCACCCTTTTGTGATTTTTTTGCATCTCTCCCTGTCTGCCTATGTTCCTCAAGTTGTGACATAAGAGGAGATGAAGGTAATGGCTTAGTGTTTGGTAGTAATAATGGCTCAATGTGCACCGATTCTCTATCATGTTCTTGTTCTCAAGCTTGAGATTCTCTTATGCTTTCCCCCTGAACCGAAGAATTGGGATAGAATGGAGTAGCTTCATGAAAAGTGACCTTAAGGCTAACAAACGTGTGTTTTGAAACAGGGTCAAGGCATTTGTAATTTTTTGTAGTAGCAGAATATCCAAGGAATATGCATTTGATTGCTCAAGGTTTAAGTTTGGTACTTTGGTAGTTATGAACAAAGGCTGTGCAACCAAACACATGAAGTAGAAGATTGGTTTCAATATGGGATGTGGAGAAACTACTCTACAATTTTTGGAGAAGAATTTCAAAGGATAAGATTTGACTGGGTATACGATTGATGAAGTAGGTCACAGTCAAAATAACATCTCCTTTATAAGATTTAGGCGCATCGTCGGTAAACATGAGTGCTCTAGCATCATCAAGTATATGGCAATTTTTCTTTTCTACAACCCTATTTTGTGGGGGTGTATAGGTACAAGAACTGGTATGGATAATATCGTGCACTTAAAGGAAGTACTCAAGCATTGGTTAAACGACTTGGTGCCATTGTCAGTGTTTAAGACTTGGATAGTGGTATTAAATTGGAGTTTAATCATGTTGAAGAAATTCATGAATGTGGATGTGGCCTTAGACTTATTTCATAAAAAATAAATCCAACATACATGAGTATGATCATCAATGAATGGTTGTGAAAGGTTTGATAGGTGTGTATTTGTCTTTAGGAAAGGACGTTTTATATTGTGTGGTAAGTTCATGCACTTCATAATGAATGTCATTAATATTTAGGTTTGAACATAAAGTTGGGAACAATCATTAAAGGTAATAAAAATTAGAATGACCTATTCTCTTATGCTACAACATAAAATCATTAACTTTGGAGATAGATTCAGAATTACCAACAAATGGTGAGTTACTCACTTGAGCAGTGACTTTAAATTAGTAGAGCCCCTTCCACTCCTTAGCACTTCCAGTTGTCACTCTAGATGATGGAGCCTAAAACACAATGGGATGAGAGGAATTTAGCATAACAATTTGATTGCTTTGTCGATTGACTGATTGAAAGTAAGTTGTAATTAGTTTAGGCACATGAAGTACACAATATGAATTTAGCATAACACTATGGAATCAAAAATTCAAATATTCCCTCTTCTTGCTATAGGTGCTAAGGAGTCATTTGCAATCTTGACTATAATATTCCTAGCACATGGAATGTAAGTGGTACATAAATCATAGCAACAAGTCATATGGTCAGAGGCACCCAAATAAACAATCCAAACTATGGTGTTGCGAGATGTTTTTAAAGCCTGAAGAAATGTTCCTCTTTTAACCACAAACACTCTAGACCCATATTTTTCCATTGACATTAGAGACCTATATCTGGTGAGAGTCCAAATAACCACTCCTAGGGCTTCCCATGAGATGAAACCCTTAAATAAGAAAGGAACCAGCAGCCACATCCCACAAGTACTCCAGAACTCTTTGAACAGTCCTAAACGTACTGTAAAGAACACTAAAAATTGAAAAAAGGGTGCCTAGCTGTAGGAATCTTTGCAATCTCATCAAAAATCTTGTTTTGTCACTGGAGAAACAAGCAGCAGCCTGAATGGCGGTGTGACATGCCCCCTAAGCAGTTCTGGCACCAAATCTAGAGGTGCCTACACACGCTGTCAATCATGGCAAGCTTCTGGGGATCCGCTGATCAGTACTTGTTGACCACTCCTAGGGTGGCAGTGATGGCCAATAGAGCCTCAATCATCATGCTTATAACTCCCTTAGGGTACAAAACACTGCCTTATGGAACCATGACCTAGAAACCCTAATGTTGATTTTGGATCTTTTGCTCTAATACCATGTGGAATTGAGAAGAAAATATTTCACATTGATGCTGAATATTGAAATACAACTTGGTATTTATACACTAGGGTGGAGAAAAAATAATAATAATAATAATAATAATAATAAAGACAAATAAAGCTTTGGAATATTTACAGTTGTAACAATATCTTTACAATGAATGTCTGATATTTCCACAAACTAATTCCTTGTTCTTTTGTGCCATATATTTAACTTCCTGAAGAGATGTCTCCCTGTTATTGGATCAAGGGTTCAAGGCTCAGCAGCACTGCTTCTTCCACCCTCTATCAAATGACATGTCCATATGTAAGTGAGGAGGATTTCTTCAAACAAATCTTGTGAAGAGGGAAAGTTTCTTTTATATTTGTTATCTAGAAATTGATTAAATGTATAGTTCCTTTTAATCATGTATTGTTGCGTAAAATGTTTCTATTGACAGATTTCGATGATTAAGCAATTTGTGCTCTAAATTTTCACTTGAATTCATTTATAATTCTTAGTGATCTAAACCTTGCCAAATGTCATCTTCAGTGATTTGACATACCTATTTGTTATATGCATTGCTTAGATTAGGCTTAAGAACATTATTGAGAATGCTATATTTTCAGAAAATTCAATGGAATAATCTTTCAAGCATAATATGAGTTTGTCCAATAATCATATGAATGTCTATTAGATTTGAATAAAATAATGCTACAACTTGTCGATTTGGATTAGGTATCCTTATGATTTAATGTAATTGAGAAAATAGACAAGTTGCATGGCTAGAATAAAGCTTATATAAGCTAGTGCTGTCTTCCAGAACTGGAGTCTTCATATCTTACTGCATTGCTTCCTTCTTTTCTTATATCTATTAATTCCGTTTATGCCAAAGACCATTCGTCTAATGTTATTTGCTTTCATTATAAGATTAAGATGGGGTAGATCATGCGTTAGGACATATTGGGTTGATGTATTCTGGTCAGGCTTTACTAAATACAAACCTAATTTTGAAATGATTGTAAGTTACTAGATTTTTTATTAAATAAGAGAGGAAAGTGAAAGTTCTCTGAATGTTATATGGATTGTTCTTGTCCAGACGCTACTACCACAAAGAATTGTTATTTGACAAAATTTGTGATGAGGAAAAAATGATTATCTTATTTCATGAACATTAAGCATTATGAAGGGTATATGTGGCAAAGGTAAGAGCTTCTATTATCTTGTAAATTCTTTGCAGTATATTCAAATTTTGAACCAATTTTTTTCATGATTCTGTATCATTTGAAAATAAATCTTTATATGGTAGTGTAGCGCGAGATGTTATGCCCATGGTCACATACTCTGAACTAGATAATAAATGTGTTGATCCACGTCATGCTTTTGTACACTCACTGTCAAATATGTTAATTAGAGTCCAATCGCTCACACTCAAATGTTATCTTGTCACTTGCAGCTCTAAATGCCCATGGTCTTGATAAATTTCTTAAATCAATAGAAATTGATCCCGCGTATGTTGATTTGGAGGTGGGTAAAGTCAAGGCCATTCCCTGTTCCTTTTTTGTAGCTTACGTGTTATCCATTGTTAGTCATCATGTCACATTTGTTCTTCATCCTTTTGGCAGGCCAATCCAACCGTGGGAAAAGATCTACCCCCTGATCTGGCCACACTAGTTCCATCTGGTTCAATAGTTTTGGCAGATCAACCTGAAAAGCAACCTTCTCCACAGGTTCCTATAGATAAAAATCATGTTTCTGCTGATAGTAAGCCCACTATGGTTTCAGGTAAAATTCTTATTAAATATGATATTACATGCTCATTCAGGCCCCTTTATTCATGTCTCATCTGCGTGGAAATAGTCCCTGCTTTGCTCCTCCCTTTTTTTTTTTTTTGGGCGGGGGGGCACCTGGGGGCGAAGAGTCAGATATTAATCTGAATAGTACGCTTCATTATGTCAATAGGCTAGTTACAATTGAGGGAGTAATCTTGATATTTATAGGATTCAAAACATGTTAAGAAAAGCAACATTAGAAGATAGGCAAAACAACTTAACCACCCTCAACTACCAATAACTACCTAGATAACATAGACTTTTATTATTTTCATATCAATACCTCCCCCTTTTAACAGCCCTTGTCCTCAAGGGTTGGGAACTTGAAAATCTGGAAATTGAACAAAGACATCCAGCTAGCTTCCTCATCAGGTTTACCCTCCCATTGCACTAAAATTTCAGCAATAACTCTCCCTTTACACCTTCCCACCCTCTTATTTAAGATTGCCTCCGGAATAAGAGTGGCTGGAACTTCCGGCTCATTTTTAGGAGGGTGTCTCTCCTTCAATGAGGGTTCTGGGCATAATTTCAACAGTGAAACATGGAAAGTTGAATGAATTTTGGATGCAGGGGGTAATTCTAACTTGTAGGCAACCTTGCCTATCCTCTCAAGTACTCTATGTGGCTCAAAATACCTTGGTGATAACTTTTGAGTTGCTATTGAGACTGCTGAAAGTTGTCTATAGGGCTGAAGCATCAAAAATACCCGTAGGCCGACTTCAAATTCACAGTCAGACCTCTTTAGATGAGCTTTTTGTTTCACATGGTTAGTTGCCCTATTCAAATGATGCTTTAGAACATTAATCACCTGTTCTCTTGCTGTAAAACTCCTATCGACAGCTTCAACTACAGCGTCTTTAGGTAAATATGGAGCATAGATTGGTGGTTTCTGTTCATAAAGTAAATCATAGGATGTTGCCTTGGTTGAAGTGTGGAAAGTTGTATTGTACCACCACTCAGCCAAAGGTAGCCCCTTGCTCCATTCCTTAGAATTTTCCCAACACATATACCTAAGGTATGTTTCCAAATGGCAATTTAATACCTCAGATTGCCCATCATTTTGTGGATGGTAAGAAGAAGTAAGCCTCTGCTCAACTTTTATAACCTTCAAGAATTCTTTCCAGAAATTACTTATAGAAATTGGATACCTCTCACTAATGATCTCATTAGACATTAGGGGCCCCATGTAGTTTACAAACATGATCCATAAAACATTGAGTAAAAGTAGCTACTGAAAAAGGATGGGAAAGAGCCAAAAAGTGAGCATATTTGCTCATTTTGTCCACTACTACCCAAATTACCTCTTTACCACTAGATTTAGGCAATCCCTCTATAAAATCCATTGCTATGCTTTCCTAAACCTTGTTAGGAATGGGCAATGGCTGTAACAACCATGGGGTAGCTGCTGTCTCATATTTGCAGCAAGCACACGTTTCACATCCTCTCACAAAGTCTCTCATACATCTTTATGCATCCGCTTCCACCAAAATAATCCTCTAACCTTTGGATAGGTAGCATGCACTCCTGAGTGGTCACCTTGTGAACTAGCATGTAACCATTCAAGAATTTGTTGCCTCATAGCTGCAACATCACCAATCACCAGCTTCCCTTTTTTCCCCCCTTAAAAACTGTCCATCCCACACATATTTGCCAATATTACCTCCTTTTCTTTGTATTTCAGCACTTATAGCCTTCAAATCTACATTTATATCCCAACTCTCCCTAATTTTTTGAAGTGATTGGGGAGAAGTGGTGTCAAGAGCCGCTTGTAACAATTGAGGACCATGTAATCTTGACAAAGTATCTGCAGCAGTATTTTCCTTGACTTTTTTGTAACAAATTTGTACTCATAGCCCATTAAACGAGCTATTCAATACATCTGACAGGGAGTCTTCAATTGCTACCCTAACAAATACTTTAAGCTTTGTTGGTCAATTCTGATGATGAATTTCTTTCTCTCCAAATGCTGATGCCAATACTCAACAGCCTGTACGACTGCCGTTAATTCTTTTTTATAAATTGATAGCTTCAAATGCGGAGGAGCCAATGCTTTGCTGAAGAAAGCAATAGGTTGGCTTCTTGCATCAATATGGCCCCAATCCCAGAGCCACACGCATTTGTTTCCACGATGAAAACCTTATTGAAGTCTGGTAAAGCAAGAACAGGGGCTGAAACCAGCACATCTTTCAGTCTTTTAAAAGCCTGTGCTGCTGTATCAGACCAAACAAACCCCTCTTTCTTCAATAAATTGGTGAGTGGCCTTGTAATCTTCCCATAATGATAAATAAACTGCCTATAATATCCTGCTAGGCCAAGGATTGCCTTTAATTGCTTGATGTTGACTGGCTCAGGCCATTCTAAGACTGTTGCAATCTTCTTAGGATTAGTAGAAACAGTTCGCTGCCCAAGATGTGACCCAAATATTCAACTGTGGTTGCTGTAAAAGTACTTTCCCTCCCTTGACGTAATACTGATTTTTCTTTAGAATTTTCAGCACCTTTGTTAAATGCTCTACATGATCTGTCAAAGAAGGGAATATATTAGGATAACATTAAAAAAATAAAACAGGGGAAAACTTTCTTAAAAAGAGTTTAAAGATAGAATTCATTGCTCTCTGAAATATGGCTGGGGCATTAGTTAAGCCAAACAACATAACTAACCACTCAGTGTCCGGAATGTGTCTTAAATGCTGTTTTGTAGGCATCTTCAGGCACCATACAAATTTGCTGATATGCAGCCCTTAAGTCCAGCTTTGTAAAGCAACTGGCAGTGCTGAGTTCATTAAATAGATCCTCCACAAGAGGAACAGGGTGCTGGTTCTTGATTCTCCTCTTGTTTAGCTCCCTGTAATCAATGCACATCCCCGGTGACCTATCCTTTTTCTTCACCAACACAATTGGGGCAGAAAAAGGTGAAGAGCTTTCTTGAATAACACCTGATTGTAAGAGTTCTTCTACTAACTTCTCAATTACATCTTTTTGAGTTGAAGGATGTCAGTGGGGCTTTAAACTAATAGGATTAGTCCCCTTTTGAAGAACTATAGGGTGATTGTGGCCTTCTCTCATGGGTGGCAGCCCCTTTGGCTCATCAAAAACACTAGGAAGAGCCCTTAGAACTTGCTGAATCTCTGTGGGTTGCTCTTCTTTTACCACTGAAACAGCAAAACAATGAGCCTCTTCTGTTGCTGTTTTCAACAACTGTAATTGAAATCTTTGTTCATCCTTTTCTCCTTTTATTTCTGTTCTCTTGGGCTTGCATAATTGGTCTGCTTGCCAAAAATACACAGTAAGGGTCTCATAATTCCAAAATGCATCTTTAGCTAATTCAATCCCAACACCATGTCATAAGTTTTGAGGTCGAGAATTCTGAAATAAAAAAACGAACTCCAACCCTTGCATTCTCCACTTAAAAATTTTCTACATGCCATGAATTTTTAATTTTTTTTTTCCTCCAACACTTCTACCCACAATACTTCTGTGTAGTCAGATTGCCAGCCCAATTTTTTTACCACTTCCAGATCAAGAAAATCGTGTGCAGATCTGGATTTGTTTCTTGCCACAGTATCCCCCAACTTGCATTGATTAAGCACCTTCAACTCATTCAATAGAAAGAGTGAAATGAGAGGTGTTTCTTCTTCTACAATCTTGTCAGGTTCAGACTCTAGAATTGGTTGGTCTTCTTGGCTTTCTGGTAATTCAATAAAGTGCAACTGCATTTTCTGCCTTTGTGAGCACTTGCAATCACGCAAAAACTTTTCATGGCAATAAAAGCATAGGTTTGTGCTTCTGTGTTCTGCTTCCTTGTTTGCAGATAGAATTTTTTTTTTTTTTTTTGAGGGGGGTTTGGTGCTGTTTTTAGAGGGAGAAAGAGATTATGTTTTAGGTGCAGATGTCAACTTCCCTTTCTGTTGGGTCTCACCATTTAGGAGGGCATTTTTGTGAGGCTCTGGTAGGTGCTCACTGTAGTAAAATGGAATAAGAGAAATAAATCTATTAGGAGGGTATAAAACAAGAATCTCATTCTATATTTCTCTTAATAGCCACGCTTAGGAGAATCTCCAAAGGGTTTGAAAAACTGTTTTATTAATTCCTGATATGCTAGCTTCTAAATTGCTAGTCATATTTATAAAGCTAAATACAATAAAATATTAAATAAAATCTAGATAACTGGATAACTAAATAGATTCTCCTAAAATCCAAAATATTAAAAAAATTCAAATATCTAAAATACTGAATCAAATCTAAACAACTAAATAAAATCTAGGGAAATCTAAATAAAAACTAAATAGAGGAAAATACCAAATAAAATACTAAATAAAAGACTGAATCAAATAATCTATCTTAATTATCTTAATTTATCCTATTTTATCTTTTGATGCTTCCTTCTTGAATAAATCTTTATGGGCACGTTATCTGGAATCTTATCAGGTTCCGACTTCCCAAGTGTTTTGTGAGGCTTGCAATGAGGCAATTGAAGGTGCAGACACCTGTGCGCTTCTTTTGCCACTTCTTCCCATTCTATTGTTCCAGAGTGATCTCTTGCATGCAAGCTAGAGAACGTGCTTCTTGGAGATTTCTCGGCTTAAAGAGCCTCACAGGACCTGAATATTCTTCCGTCATTCCTTCCATGTAGGCTTCAATGATGTACTCTTGTGAAAAATCAAGCTTGCAAGTGATAGAATCGAAGGCACCATTGAATTCAGCCAAAGAACCCTTCTGCCGTAGATGCATCAGATTGCCCATTAGTGCCTCATGGGTGGGTCTGAATCTTCCTTTAAGGAGGATGACATACTGCTCCCAGGTTGGGGTGATGCCGAACCAGGTCTTCTCTATCGCCATGTGGCAAGACCAAGCTTTTTCATCTAAGCAAATCGATGCCATCTTCACTTTTTCTTCTTCTGGCATGTTATTGAGTTCAAAATATCTCTCGCATCGCATGATCCAACCCAACGTGTCAGATCGAGAGAACTTGGGAAATTCCATTTTTGTGAACTAGGTAGGCCTTCAATGCTCTTCCTTGTGTCTCACATCCTCTTCTCGATGACTGTGGTGGCCATTTCTACCATTCCTGCTACGACACTCCAGATTATCAGATTCTTCCTCTCGATCGCACATCAGGAATTGGATCTGGTTTGAAAGACCGATCACTTGATCACTGAACATGTCAATGGCATCTAGCTTGGTAAGTCCGTGTTCGACCTGGTGCAATCTTTCCTCCATTTCTTGTTGAGTCTGATTTTGCTTCTTTACCATACACTATTTGAAAGATAGAGAGACAAAAGGAAGCCGGGGACGACCAAGCTCTAGATACCATTGATATGGAAAGTAGAAAAGATAGAGTAGAATAGAGAAGTAGAATAGAATAGAATAGAGAAGGAAGTGAGAAAATTCAGAAGAAAATAGAGAGAACCGGACAGAAATCAGAGGAGGGAGAGTCAGGTATTAATTTGAATGGTACATTTCATTATGTCAATAGGCTAGTTACAATTGAGGGAGTAATCCTGATATTTATAGGATTCAGAACATGTTAAGAAAAACAACACTAGAATATAGGCAAACGACTTAACTACCCTCAACTACCAATAACTACTTAGATAACATAGACTTATATTATTTTCATATCAGGGGGGCTGTGAATAAACAGTTTTTTTTGTATCAAAATCTTTCTGCATTTCTACAGTTTGAAAAGTATTCATGGGGAGGATCTAGTGCAGATTTTAATAAAAAACGGTGAATGTATTGTACATGGAACCTTTTTAGTCTTTGTTTTGTTTTTGTACTCCTGTGGGTCTGAAAAATGGTCACACTTTGGTCAAACTTTAATTAAGGAACAGTGTTTCAATTTATTTGTCAATCAACCTGTGAGTGAGTATATTAAAATTGGAATTCCTGTGTGAAATAATGATCCGAGCAATCAAATTTGTAACGAGTCCATTGCCTTGGAAACTGGGCAAATCCTTTTGGGGCAGCAAAAGGTGCGAAGCCATCCATTAGTGAGAAAAATAGCAAGGGAAAACCAGTCAACAATGCTCCATTGCAGACCTCCTTTGCTGATGTTGGCCAATTCGTCGAAGAGATATTGCATAGGACTTCAGACTTACTGCTTTCAGAGGTATTTAACAAAAGTGGGGTCAAATTTCTTTAATTAGGCATTCCAGCTGAAGATTCTTTATCGTGCAGATCAAGGAAGAAACCATAAAGCAACATGGAGAGCAGCTGGCTACTGTGGTATCTGACAGTCTACGGAAAGGTCTGAGCTCTGATTTGAAGAGCCTTGCTGTAAGTACATGATGATTCCAGTTGAATTGTTTTTTCTTTCTGGAAAGTTTAATTAAGAAAAGAAGTTGAGCGCATGGTGTTCCTTACAGTGGCTATAGGGTGATGGCTATGGCTTATAGGTGAAAGGCCACTGTCATAAAGAAGTTGATGTTTTAGCCTTTAACCACAAGATTATCTTGTTGCAGGTGATGTTCAAGAACACCGCATACACAGAAGGGTTCCATGCTGGCGCTCACCATCAGCCTAAACGCTTGTGAAGGCAATGACTACTCAAGCCTATTTAACTAATGGGGTATTTTGTTCGATGCTTTGTGATGGTGCGATGAAAATATTTGGTGCTGAAGAGGAGATGAATTGAACAAATTTGATGAGTATGGTACCTGCGATGAAAATATTTGGTGCTGAAGAGTAGATTAATTGAACAAATTTATAACAGGGCGCCGTTATGTATGCTATTTTAACATAATACAACACAAATTATTTTTTATCGGACAGATCTTAACTATGCGATGTTTTTTAAACGAAAATAGATGATGAGTGAGTAAAACGATAACTGTTGTATCAAATGTGGATAATCGATTTTCCAAGAGGGATAGGCTTAACTGGAAGCAGACAATCGCGGTTGGGTTATGTTTCAACACGGCATCAGCACTATTAAGGTCTGGAAGAGACTAGCAAACGATGTGACCCCACCAGGAATGTTTTCAAGTGACTGGGGAAACTGATCTTCATGAGATATAAATACTAAATAATAGATTCTTTTCAACTAGGTTTGCTTGCTATTCTTATTCTCATTAAACTAAAATACACAGTTGTGTGCATTCTGCTTTGCAAGTGAATAGCAATGACCTAACGATTAATAATTCACTTCATTGTACACTTCTGAAGGAAGGAGGTAGTAGAACTGGAAAGTCATTTCCACGGTAACACATGCCAAGTCCATTGACTTGTAACCTTGGCAACCTGCAGTTGTGTTGATATTTCTATCTTTTCCATAATTGGGGGGAGAAGATATTTCTTTGATTCTATCTGTTACCGTCAACGTTTTAGTTCTCATTTTATCATAGCTAAAGAAATTTAGTTGACGTAGATCCATTAAAACTCTGGTTAAAAAGCATGGCTATGAAGAAGGAGACCGAGTGTCCGGTTTAACGAGTGAACCGATTTCTAAAGAACATAATGATTCAGAGAAATAGGCGGTAGGGAGTACACAGAAGCGTGAGATGAACATGCAGTCATCCAGCATTTCGTGGATTTCGATATTTGATTATAAATGAATTTTGCAGAGGGACGCGTAGGCACCATGCAGAAGTAGGATCATTCTAGCGTTCTGGATTAACCCGTCGGAACCTTCCATGGAAAGGCCAAAGTGAAGCCAAATGACTCCACCTTAAACACCGGCGCAACCTGCCACCGCCACCGGATTCGTCGGAGTCTGAGAGCACCGGCATCTCTTGCCGGCAAACGGGGCAAGAATTGTGGAGCTTTAGCCATGGCACGATGCAGTCAGAATGGTATATATGCTTGCAGGATAACTCCCTCGCTTCCCCACCCAGTTCAAACTCCTCCTGGCAAACCGGGCAATGAGGGTTCTCCTTCAAATGTGTCTCCATTATTTTCACAGTCGGAATCGCATCGATAGCTCTATCCGGCGCTGGAGGCGGGCCTTGCCGGTCATTTTCGGTCAGGTGTTCAATCAGTTCATCCAACCCCGGCCCGAAAAAGTAGTCTCTCGGATCAACCCGTCGTGGGACTGTATCTTGTTGCCGTGGAATCCTTTCGAACGAGTTGGAACGATCAACGGGTCGAACGATAACCCAAGTCCGAGGGCGAGGTTGGGCTTCCAGTTCTGGGTCGAAACCACTAGCTCTGGCATCAAGACTACGATGCCGGGGACGTCTTATGTGACGAACCGGAATTTCAACACGTGAATTCTCACGAGTCCGACCTTCATGCTGGTGAGCTCGCCCCTGAATCCACGGAAAGTGGCGGTGCTCGAACTCTGGATCAAAGAAGCGGAGGATGGTGGGGTCGAGCATGAGCGAAAGGGCATCAAGCAAATGCGGGGGATCGATGAAACGGGCGAGCTGTGTGGGTGCGGGTATGTTGAATTCACAGAGGAAGTGTTGAAAACAGCGAGGGCAGATAACGTCGGAGGGGTGGACGGGGGCGAGCCTGACCAGTCGGTTGCAGCGGAAGCACCAGTAGAGCTGGTAGGTTATGGTTGCGCGAGGAGGGCTCAGAGACATGGTTTTGAGATCGAGAGCGGAGAGGCGGGAATGGGAAAGGACGGTGAAAGGAATGGATGGGGTATATAGAGATGATCATAATGAAGAGGGAGGAAGAAAGAAGGGGATGACTTGTGGGTTAGCGATAAGCGATTCTGGGAAAGAGGGTGGCTTTGTGTCCAAAGGAAGTCACATGATATCAGAGATTTGTTGTGAGAGTCGCCCTGTTTCCTGGGAGGGAGGGAAGAGCCCCCAGGGTGAACGTCTCTCTGTATTATAATTTATAAAACAGGTGTGCATTGCAGAGGACTGTCAACGGCTAACTTTTTGTTTTGGGCTCACATTGAATGAGACCCTTAAGAATGGACATCATGTGGGCCCAATATCAGGCTAATGGGCTTCCTTTGTCAGCTCCTGCATCTCAGCATCACATCCAAAGCCCCCCGGTATCATTATAACAAAACAGCGGAAACACAAATATCTTAAAACATTTCTAAATTTTATAATGCTTAGCAACGGATTGGCGGTAATATATGAAATAAAATGAATAATTTTACCATTTTAGGTGAGAAAAAATGTCACATAGGATTCAGGATGGGTGCATTGTCAAAAGTAGTTGTAGCCATATTATTTAAAGTTCATGACTCGAGTACGACAGAGGTAGTTGACCCAGATATGATCTTAATTTAATTGCAGAGATGTCCTTACGCAGTATTAACTTCTAATCCCAACATTATGTGCACCCTTTTAAAGTTAGGAAGGGACTGCCTGATGTACCATGCAATGTCTCTTGATTACTGTTTTACCCTAATGAAAAATTGAAGTTTATTTAACAAGAATGAACAAAGAAAGAAAAGAAAAGGTGCATTTGATCCCAACAAATTACAACGACCGAGTGATGCAGAAATTAATGACTACTATATATATACCTGAGAATTTTTTTAAAAAATGTTGACTATTCATCTTTTATTATTTTTTGGCCACAAAATGTCAAGCATTTTGTAAAAAAGTATGCATGTTCGGTCTTGTGTGAATATTAAACCTCGTGTAGATGCCTTTAATTTTGAAAAGGCGTAAGTTTTGATAGCAAGTGTCAAGTGACTATTTCTTCATCGTCTTTTCTCCGCGGCCAAAAAGAATTTCTTAGAGAAAAGGGACGACCATTTCTATAGCAGCAACAATTGAATAAAAGTAAACAGTAGGTGAAGCCCGAATATGTGTGTGTGAATATACATATACAAGCTTTTGAAAATGTTGGGCCTTGGAATTAATTTGAGTTTGAAATATGGGATGTATGGATTACTATAAGAGTACTAATGTGATGGAGAGGAGGCAGCGGCAATACCCAGTTAACTTGGTAGTCGAGAAAGGGAAGTGTGAAAGCAGCGTGTATTTTCAAAATTCCATATAGCTCTCTAATCCTTTTGATAATTATGTATCCGCCCCACCCACCATTGGCATTACATATATATATATATATATTCATTCAAACCTCTTGTCTTCTTTCCACATGTCCGTTTCAAGCTCACTCTTCCTTTACTATTCATCCCGTGACACCTTTCTATGTATTTACAACAACTCGCTCAAAACAAAATGCTACTCCCTCGCTCTCAAATTATATAATATTTTTTTAAAAAAATTAAATATTTTAAAACATAAAAGACTCTAACAAAAATAAAATTTTATTAATAATATGTTTTTAGTATTATCCTTTTTATTATATTATTTTTTAATATTCTTTTATAAGTAGATTATTAAATGAAGTGCATTTCTTAAAATGTACATCTTTGTTTGAAAAAATAAAAATATAAAATATATTTAATGAGTTTTATTGGTACATATAAAAAATTTATTTTAAAATTTTTTATAATTTGTAACTAACATATTGCTTCTTCTTATTTTTTTTTTTTTTTTGATATAACATTAAGTACTTTTATTATACTCCCAATATTCCGCAATTCATTTGAGAACAGATCTAAATAACACCAGCAATTATAGCGAGTTTATAAAACAACCTGACACAGAAATAAATCATGAAGAGCTTTAAAATTAATTGATAATTAATGATGATAATAATGCGCTCTTCTCATCATGACCCGGAATTTATTAGAAGATTTTTACATGGATGAACACTGATGATGCTTCTCTTCATGGACGGTCGTGAAAGAAACAGAGGAAGTCAAAAACAGGATGAATCAATGCCATTGCAAAAGGTCTGTCGTCGTGTACAAGTTTGGTGGTGGATATATGGTCAAGCAATGAAAGCCACACACACACTCTCTCTCTCTCTCTCTCTCTCTCTCTCTCGCTCTCATGTTTTTCGAGGTCAAAATTAAATGAAATGAAAATAGCTAGGTTTACATCATGATGTAGCTTGAGATTTACTGTATAATTTAGTAGCAGATATGTGCACACGCAGAAGCAAGAAGCGCTTCCACTAAACGCCTGATTGCATAATTTAAAGAGGGATAATATTATTAAGCACACATGTGTGGGCGCATGAAAGTCAAAAAAGACGATAGCAGGATTAGGTGAGGTCGACCTGCCCAACTCGTCACAGGTACGTGGTGCATCTCTACCACGTTAGAGTGATCGATCCACTACTTTGAACTGAGAAAACGACCTTGAGTTCCTCTAAGAGAAGGTACAGCAAAAGTTTGCAGCATCATGGCTTTAAGGTTCAGAGTTTACGTCTTTGTCATCCTCTACTTTGTCCGAGGGACTAGGCTTTGGATTTTTCTGCTTTGGGCTCCAAACGCGTTAGTGTTATACTTCTTTTGGTTGGCTATTATCAGCTTTTCCATGTTTCCGACCTCCCTCTTAACTTACCTATACATATAGTTTAAGAAAATTAATTAATTATAATCATCATGTTTGAAAGTAAAAAAATGGATTAAAATATCCTGTCTTAATTAATATAACTTTGCATTAATAATTATTTTTTATTGATGTAAATTATGAGGAATAATTTAAAAAATTTTAATAAATATTTATTGGTATATGTAATTTTACTTATGAAAAAACAAATTAAAAGTGATGATTTCTTAAAACAAGAAGAGAAAAAAAAGCGGGGGAGCACGTTGAGAGGCTGTTTTAAAATTATATGAGGACTAGCCAACCATTATGTGCTTGTTTAGATTTCAGTTGAATATAATAAATTATAAAAATAATTGATTAAATAATAAATTTTAATCACAATTGATTATGTTATAATGTAATTTATTTGGATACAATTTTTTTAAAATTAATTTTAAAAAAATTAAAAATATTTGGATAATTTATTCAAGATCAATTTTAGCTGTACAAATTATCATGAAAAACATTGCCTTTCAAAATTAAATTATTGATAAATTTCTACCTAATATTATTAAAGTTGTTACTTTTTATTTAAAAAGTAAAATATATTATTTAACTTACATATCTAATTTATTAAAAATTTTAAATTATATTAATATTAACATTGAAATTTATATAAATAAGTAACTCAATATATCTTAGTTAAAATAAATTTAATTAAAGAGAAATATTTAATTCTTAAATACCAAATATTAATTTTATAATAACTAATAAAGATAATAATATACAAATTAATTTCTAATAACATCATAAATATGAGTTATATCTAATGAAAATATTAAGTACTGCCTTGAAATTTTAGCAACATAAAAAAATGTAACAATGTCATAAATGACACAAAATCTCTTTTTTTTTTAAATTTTTACAACAATCTTTATAAGAACCTTAAACTTTAAATTAAATTAAATTAATTTTTCTCTACCAATTAATATTTTATTTGAATTATTTTTACAGTAAGTATTAAGTGGAGAATGGTGGTTGATAGGAATTTATGTTAGTAACTTTTTTAAAGATTTAAAATTTAAATTTTATTAAAAAAAGAGTTTAATTTTATTTTTATTCAATATTGTGCTTTTTTATATTTTTTTTGGGCTTTCTTTATAATTTTTCTCAACATTTTTTTATTAACTTTCGGCAGAGGCTCGTTCAGAGAGCTCACGAAAAAAAACGTACGTTGAAGGCTCATAATCGATTTTTGACTTTTTTGACTGTTTGAATAATTTGGCTCAAAAAATTAATGTTGGGTTATTTAATCCATTTTAACCCTTATTCAAACACACACTGTGGTCAAACTAGACAGCTTCGCCGTTCCAAGGTAAGAAAACATAATCCTATGGGGTTAAGGTTGTCTTTCATTTACTTTCATCCACCATGTGGGTTATAAGTAAGCCTATCATTCATCTCAACCATCATTAGCATTGAAATTGAAAGCCAAGCCGCATCTGCGTCAACTATGGGCTTTTTTTTCTGAATCAGACTGAAAATTAAACTGATCAACCGCCTGATCCGGTCTAATTTAAAAAATACTGATTATTACCCCTTCCTCAGAGTAATAATAATAATAATAACGAGGAATTATTGGAGGGCATGGGGGATTTGACAGGGCAGTATTTTGTTGAGAAAAAGCGTCCAAAAGCTATAAAAAGTTCATAGGGCAGGATTTTGTTGGGAAAAAGCGTCCAAAAGCTATAAAAACAAGGGGACGCTGTAAATATCCTTAAAGGAATGGTGCCATGTGCATATCGTTAAAATAATGAAAGGAATTAATCTTAAATTATAATTTATTTTTAAATAAAAATTTATATATTAATAAACTTTATTAACTATACTTAATAATTTTATCTTTTTAAAATACAAATACAAATTTTTAAAAATACTCGTCACTTAATACATTAAAAAGAAAAGAGATAAAAAATAATTATAAAAAAATATAATATTAAAATTAATACATTTAATAAAATTTTAATTTATTTAAAATATTTTATATTTCATGAAAAAAAAATTTAAAAAATGCTATATAATTTGAAATGAAACGAGTATATTATTATCATTATTCTTTATTTGTAGCACAGAGGGATTGGGTTTGGGTAGAGCGAAAAGAGTGAAAGGGAAAGGTCTTAGTGGTTGGGGACGAGTAGCTTTCCACAGCGTCAGCAGGGAGTTGTCTACTAAATTTACCTTTCGGTAACTTTCAAAGTTACCCTGCTCTTTCCTCTATCCCCAAGTTCATAAGTCAGAACATTTGCCCCCCCCCCCCCAAAACAAAAAAAATACAGGGAAGATGATCATTAAGTCATAAAAAATTAATTACGGTTAAATTTCTTGATAAGTATTTTAAATAATTAGTCCATAATAGAAATTTAAACAATTGCAAATTCAAGAATTTTATTTGTAGACGTGATATTTCAGTTTTGATTGTAACTCTCCTTACGACTTATATTCTTATTTATGAATGTTCAAATTAATATTTACAATTCACCTTTTAACAAATTTTAGAAAAAATTAATCATTTGATCCCTGTAATTTTAATTTAGTTGTAACTTAATCTTTAAAATTTGACTCGTTATAACTCAATTCTTAAATTTTTGACTCAA